TCTCATTAGATGCCAGTGGAAGTAACCAGAACATCTCCCTACTCTGAAAATTGAAACTTAAAAGGAAATGGGGGGAGGGTATAGTTCAGTGGTAGAGTGCATCACCAGTACCTCCATTTAAAAAAATAAACAAATAAACCTAATTACCTCCCCGACCAAAACAACAACAAGATAAAAAAAAAAAGGAAATGAACAATAGGAAGACAATCACGTGTGCTAGTGAGGATCTGGAGAAGCTGGAACCCTCTTAGATTACTGGTGGGATTGTTAAATGGTGCAGTCACTTTGGGAAACAATTTGGCAGTTCCTCAAAATGTTAAAGATAGAGTTACCCCAAAACCCAGCCATTTCACTCTTCTGTATATACCGAAGCATGAAAACATAGGTCCACACAAAACTTGTACCCAAATGTTCATAGCGTTGTTATTCATAATAGCAAAACTGAAAACAACTCAAATATTCATCAACAGATGAATGGATACACCAAATGTGATATAGTTGTACAGTGGAATATTATTTTACCATAAAAAAGAGCGAAGTACCGACACATGTTACAACATGGATGAAGTTTAAAATATAAGGGAAAGAAGCCAGTTTTTAAAGTTAATACATTGCATGCTTCCATTTTATTATGTGTCCAGAATAGGCACCAAGCCATAAAGACCAAAAATAGATTAGTGGTTTTCAGGGTCTGGGGGAAGGGAGAAATGGGGAGTGACTATTAATATGTATGGGGTTTCTTTTTGGTGTGATGAAAATGCTCTGAAATTTGACAGCAGAGATGGTTGCCTAACTGTGAATATACTAATAACCACTGAGTTGTATACCTTAAAAGGGTGAATTGCATGGTATATGAATTATATCTCACTAAAGCTGTTATTTTAAAAAATGAGCTCTATCCTGTCTTCCCTGTATGAACTAATTTTCCAGGTAATCATATGGCCCTAGTTGATGAGGAAAAGCTCTTGTTTACAGAAGAATTCCAGCCAATAAATGTGGAAAGAACAATAGGGACAAAAATGCATCATTTTATAATCTATCATGAAATTATTGACTCAGACAAGCATCTTTAAAGGAAGAAACGGGGGAGACTCTATAGCTTAGTGGTAGAGTGCATGACTAGCATGCATAAGGTCCTGGGTTCAAGCCCCAGTACCTCCACTAAAAAGAAAGAAAGAAAACCTAATTATCTCCTCCCCAAAATAATAAAATAATTTAAAACGGACGAAATTATTGCATGGAAGATTGAGGAGGAAATTTCCAAAGAAGGAATTAGGCTGCTGCCACCAGAACTCACATATGTCTTAGCATCACTAAAGATGTCGTTTAGCACTCAGCAGCACCAAAGATGTGTTCTTACCGAAAGAGTTGTACCTGAATCTACTCAGCCCTCTACGGCTATTTTACAGGAAATAAGGGACAAAGGAGCTAATCATATGACAGCACAAGGAAGCAAACAGAGAAATCCAGAAGGTGGGACATTCTACAGGACAAGCGATCCCGTCAATGAAATGGAACAAAAAACCAAAACAAACAAACAAACAAAAGGAGAAAAGATTATTTTGGAGTAAAAGTGACTCAAAAGGCAAAACAAACAAAACCCCACCAAACTCCCCACCCAGCTGTCACTGCGATGAGAGGATTTTATCCCAATGTAATCCTGATGTAAACAAAAAGACATTTCGAGACAATTAGGGAAATTTGATTATGGTAGGATATTAAATGATTCCAAAGAATATTCTTCATTTTGTTAGGCATGGTCAAGGTAGTGCAGAAATGAAGGTCATTGTTTTAAGAGTTGCACAATGAAATATACAAAGATGGAATGACTTATCTGGGATTTGTTTTAAAACACGTCAGAAATCAAAAAAAAAAGGAAGGGTATCTTAAGTACATTTAGCAAAGCTTAGCTGTTGAATCTGAATGACAGGCAACTAGAAAATATTCCATTATTTTAGCTACTCTTGTGTCTAGATTAAAAAGTTCAAAATGGAAAGGAATATAAAAGTGAATGTCAAGGACGTGTGCCAAGGATGTCTGTGAAAAGCAAAGAAAACCATTACATGACAGGTGAGCAGAGGGGGAAAAAAGCCTTTATAAATTAACATACTGTTATAAAATTTGTGATTTTCAATATGCTTGTAATCAAGTTGATAAACTAAATTGTATGAACAGATATATGTCAATTTATCTACAGTGCTTCAAATTTATATCCACAAGTTGGCCAACCACTTTAAAAGTCTCCTTGTTGGGAAAATCGAAGTAGCCCACATATGAACAGTGACTGAGCTTTAGAGTAGGGGGTGGATGAGGTTTAGGCTGAGAAGGTCCAGAGATAGTGAAGGGCCCTGTGTGTCTGCTGATCGTTAAGCTGGGACTGGGAGTGAGGATGGGGGAAAAGAAGCTCGTTAATAACAGCCCCTAGTGAAAAACCAGGCAAGTCAATCCTCCACCTATTCAATCAACACATGTATTGTGCTCCTGCCTTGTCTCAACACCTAGCCCAAATTTTTGGATTTCTTTGTTTCGATTACTTTAAGGAGTTTCTGGCATCTCGACGTCATTTAATGAAGACCACTACTGGGTCCAGATTTCATTCAACCAACTGTGCTCTTTAGGACCATTCTCAACTGGTTAGTTAAAACTCCCAAATCTTCTCTGTAATGTGCATTTATATTGATAAATTCAGCCAAGACTAATGTAATCTTCCTTCTTCCTTGACCTAACACCTTTAGAATCCAGTTAACACCTCTAATCCCTAGGTTTCAGCTAATTTATTAGCTAAGGCTCTCATTCTCTCCCTCTGTTTCTCTTTCTCTTTTTTCTCTCCTCCCTCCTTCCTTCCTTCCTCCTACTCTCCATCCCTTCCTTTGTCCTTCCCTCTGTTTTTCTCTTTCTCTCCCTTCCTTCCTTTCTTTCTTTCTTTCTTTCTTTTCTTTCTTTCTTTCTTTCTTTCTTTCTTTCTTTCTTTCTTTCTTTCTTTCTTTCCTTCCTTCCTTCTTTCCTTCCTTCCTTCCTTCCTTCCTTTCTTCTCTCTCTCTTTCTGTCTCTCTCATATGTGAAAGCCACCTCCACCGTCAGACTTTGTTCTTGTTCCCTGGGGTATTATGGAATTGGACTCTCCATATATATCTGGAGATAAAAGAAGGGGGAGTGACCTCTGAGAGGACCCAGCATCTTCTTGCAAAATAAATTCCTCTTATGAGGTTATCACATGGTCTCTGGGTAAAGTAGAATCGGCCTCATCTGATGGGAGGAGGGGCAGCCTCTGTTGGCAAAGGAGTTTCATTGAATTTTGAATTTTGGGAGTTAGGGGAACTCAGTCATCTGCATCCACCCAAACACCCTCATTTTGATTCCTAAGTGCCACTTGTTCCCATTCAGTGCACCTGGCCAGGATGTTAATACAACTTATATTGCAGTTATATTACAATCTAGCAACCCACAGGACTAACTCTGTCCAGTTTTTGACTATATAAGCCCTTTGGCAACAAGAGATAAGAAAAAAATTTATAGTTGTCAGGAATGTCCCCATCTTGAGCTAAGGATTTATTTCTTTCTTGAAAGTCTTCAGTGTAATTATGAATAGCCAGTCCACCCCACAGTCCTGTTTTCTTTTGTTTTGTTTTTTGGGGAGCAGGTAATTGGGTTTATTCAGTGTTTAATGGAGGCATTAGAGACCCAGGACCTCATGCATGCTAAGCAAGCACTCTACCAATTGAGCTATACCCTCCCCCCAAACCCCACAGTCCTTATAGTTCTCACTCCCAACATAATGGTCAACTACAGCAACTACTCCATCCACTAAAGCCTTACCTTCATTAGGCACTTTCCTCTAGTCAACAATACTTATTGTGATAAGTGATAATTTATGTTAACTACTTTTTTCCTGAATGAAATAGACTAGATCTGCATCGTCTTCAAATTTAATGGCTTGATTTTCATCTTTGAGGGTAGTTTCCTGCAGAAATAGAAACCTCACTGGGCTTTCTCTTTAATTAAACTTTTTATTTTGAAATAATTGTAAGTTTGCATGCAGTTATAAGAAATACAGAGCAATTTCACCTCCCTCCCCATCCTTTCCCCAGTTTCCCCCAATGGTAACATCTTGCAAAATTATCATACCATAACACAACTAGGATATTTATATTGATAGAGTCAAGGTACAGAACATTTCCATCACCACAAGGATCCCTCATATTTTCTAGGCTCATCTTAATTAGAAATGGATTAAATACACAGAATTTAGTGTTAATAAAAATTATTGGAGGGGCTGAAAGAATGGTCTTTAGACTGTGCTTCTAGTAACGCCTCTCAGAATACTATAGAGTTCACCAATCAGGACCTCTTACTTCTGCCACCATCAGAAAGATGGGGATCAAGAGGTTGTGGCGGGAGTGTTGTTAAAATTACGTATCATGAAAAATAAACAGGATCAGAAGAAAAGACGGGAGAAAGCCCACGAGCTATTAGGAAGTAGAGAAGTCAATGGCCTGGAGGTGCGGAAAAGTTGGACAGAGGCCACAGAGGGGCTGGTCAAGTCTACAGGCTGCCTCTTTCCAGGCACATTGACACCCAGGCTAATCCTGGATCTGCCCTAAATAGGAAAGGGGGTGATGGCTGGCTCAGAAGGTAGAAAAATATAATCAACGTTCTGCAGCTTTGGTGCCACAACTAGGTTCACATCTCTACTCCACCACTTGTAAGATGCGGGACAACGGACAATTCATATACCTTGAGACTCCGTTTTCCCTTTTTCAAAAGGGGGAGGACAATATTATGCTGGTGAGAGGATTTAATGAGATAAAGCGCTTCACTGCCTGGCATAGTGTAAACGCTGAACACGCAAAAGCTGTTACTGCTACGCTCGGAACAGAAAACCAAAGAAGGATTACAAGGTCGACAATTCTAAGTGCAGAAGTACTGTATTACAGAACTTCTGGATAACTAGGCGCATGCGCCTGCTCGCGAGCTTCGGCTACCGCGGGCTCTGCGCATGCGCCGGAAGTTGCTGCTGGGAAGCCCGCGAGGTCGGTTCCGCCCGACTCTAACATGGCGGCGCCCTTTGTCTGCTCTGAAGTGCCGTCCCCGGCCTTCTCGCGGCCGTGATGTACCTCCCTCTGCGGTGGGGTCCGGGACATGGCAGGTGAGGGTCAGCAAGCACCCGGGGCGGGGGGAGTCCCAGGAGTCGGGCGGGGGCGGCGGAGGATGGGGCGCAGCGGGACGGCGGGGGACGGTTGTGTGGGGGAGGGGAGGGAAGTGGACTGGGAAGGGAACCCGGACTGAGGGGATCTGAGGGGGATCCCGGCAGGACCGGAGGGTGCGGGGCAGATGGGCGGGGGGCGTCGCCCGACGAGCGGGCGGGGAGTGGGCGGGCGGACCCGACCTGCAGTCCCGGCAAGCGAGCGCGAGTCGCCTCTGGGATGGGTGACACCCCAGCTGGTAGCATCTCCGCCCCCGCCGCCCGGCTGTCACC